TTATGATCAGGGGGGCTAGAGACACACCGATACGCGCCATGAAGGAGCAGTAACCGAGTCCATTTTGCCTGCATGACGACAAAAATCCAACATATTTGTTATTGCATTTCCTTCAAGCCTTTCTTGGTTCATCAGTTAGCCAACTGTCTTGTAAACATGCTGCTTCTGGATAATAGACACTGTTTGACATGTGCAACATATGTACGAGCAAAAAAATGTATTTACAGTTTTTCTCAGTCACTTTGATGCATTTCTCTGATCAGAAATAACATTTCACAACTGTTAGTTCAACCTCCCTAACATTTAGACATTTGTGCACATCATCGTAGCTGTTTGTTATTACATCCAACAAATTTCACATGCTTTTGGACATGCATCAAGTGCTTTCATACAATTCTATGTAGTTTATGAAATTATCATTTGCTTATGTCATGTCAGTCAAAATGAACTATACTTATGAATGTTGAATAGTTATTCCCTATAAAGCTAATAGTCCTCATTCCATTGCTTGAATCATTACATACAAAAATGTTTAACTAGTTGTCAAGATCGGTCAAGCAAATTTTAGACATTTCTTTCTCATTTTTTCCTTCAAATGTCTCCTAAATTGAACAAGTTCTCTCAGGTGAACCTCAGCTTCCTCATCAACATCCCCCATCTTGATCCACACAACACACAACATCTGCTGACTTTTTTAGACACTCTTTACAGGGACATAATCCCTGAGAATAACAGGGGTCGAACTGGAGACCATCTGAACAAGTATGTTGTTGTTTGGGATAATGTGCATCTTCACCACTCAGATCTGGTCAGACAGTGGTTTGCAGCACATGAAAGGATGCTGATGGAATAACCCCACCCCCCTGGTATTTGACCAGCATCCACGAACCCAAATGGCCCTACTAGCAGCCATGGCTGCAGCATGTGCTGACATCGCAGCAGAGTCCTGCAGAGGGTGGATTCGCCACTCGAGGAGATACTATCATTGCTGCATTGCAAGGGATGATATTCACTGTGATGTAGATGAAAATATGTGGCCAGACAGGAACATCTGGATGTCCATGAAGGATTTACAACACTGTGTATGTTGAGTTCTAATATGTACTACAATATTGTTTACAGTCGTGCACAGCTCTACCCAAGGGCTGTTTCTTATGTTTGTTGTAAATACGTGTGTATTTTTCTTTTGCACAATGCTGACAACAAATTAGAGTTGCAAAGTGCATATGCAGTAAACATGTGAAACATAAGTATTCAGTGTCTTGTACTCAGTTACCTCCCTAAATGCAGTAATGTGTAATATTACTGTAGTTTTCAAATGGCTGTGCAAATAGTGCATAGTGCTGTCTTGAGCACTTTCAAGTAGTGTCACCAAGATCTGACTTTTTACATTTGAAAACACTTATAGTCATCATAAACTGTCATCATGAAAACAGGACAAAGACATTTGACTATCTTGTTCGTAAACAATGGTGTCAGGACTTTTCATCTTGATGACACTGATGCTTTCATTGACATGAATACTTGCTTGTGAAGAATGAACTATCTATTTTGAGCAACTGACATGGTTTTGCAGGTTTCAACCAGGTTTTGCAGTTTGTACTAATTGTTTTGAGAAATGCGATAACTGTTGTGCAAATGTTNTCCTTGGAATGATTCGATTTTGGTGTCAATCAGTGCAACAATAGCTCTGCTAGAGATCAGAGGTCACTTTTTTCAAAAAGCTGTATACTTTCAAAAGGGTGGAAAGTAGATTTATGGTATTTGGTGCAGATAAGCAACTATTTTGGTGATGTGCATTTGACACCGGATGATATTTCAACGTCATAAATTTGAACTGCACTGTAACTTGAAAACTGTGCCAGATACACACATTGTTCGTATCGGAAACCATACATAGGCTTCCCACTGTCAATGCAACATTTGACCTTTTGACATTATGTAAACTATGCAATGTGCAGAAAGTGTACCCTTGTGGGGCTGACCAGATTTTTCTTTAGCGTCAATGTTCAGTGAGTGGCTAATTCTTTACTGTAGCTTTAATATTGCAAAACCTCCCAAAAGAAGATACCCAGGATGTATCCTAATCAAATGCTTGAACCAACTCTGCTGGCTCCTTTCAGCACAAACATGTGCAAGCTCTTTGTCCTATCCCCACTGAGCCCAGCCACATTTTTGGTTTCTATTATTCTATAAGGAACATAGATCAATTGGTAAAGGCAGGACAGCATTACTGTCTGATACAACTTGCACATTAATGCTGATGTTGAAACAAATCATCTGTCTATCATTTTTACATCACTTTTAAACAAGGTCCCGAGATACTTGAACTCCTTCGCTTAGGGCAGTAGCTCATTCACAACCCAGAGGGAACAATCCACCAGTTTCCAGCAGGGAGCTATGGCCTCAGACTTGGAGGTGTTGACTGTCATCCCAGCAGCTTCACTCCTGACTGCAAACCGCTCAGTGCATGCTGGAGGCCACAGTCTGATAAGGCCAACAGAACCAAATTATCTGCAGTAAGCAGAGGTTTAACTCTGAGGTTCCCAAACCGGACATTGTCCTCAACCCAGGACTGAAGACAAAGGGCAACCCTGGCAGACTCCAACACCAGCCAGAAAAGTGTTTGACTTCAAGTTATTTTGAGGCTGCGTGTCTGCTCATTTTCTAAAATAAACAATGAAATCATGGCCTCAAAAACACAGCTGTAAAACAGTGTTTAGCTCGTGGTTGATGTATTTATTGAGAATTGCACAAAGTTTTCATTACAAATA